TAATATAGTACACCTAAATTTAAGTACAGTACAATACTTTTAAAAACAAAATACAGTACGAAACTTCTGCACCCCGAATAATGCTGGCCCACCTTTTTAATAGGTCAATCGATTACATTAACAAATTTTTTACTTAGATGGATGACTTTGTAAATTGGTACGATTTCCTTTCTTAAAACTCTTTCCAAGTTTACACACTCGGTGCTAGGGCTAAATCATGCACATTGTAACTCTTCTCTTTATTAGTCAGCCACATTTATGTGGTGATACTTTTGGCTCTTATTATTTGTCGTACGTACGTACGTACTTAGCTGTTAGTGCATACGTACATACCTTCTTTCGCCTTTTGTTCTTTTTTGCAAAAATGGCCGTAGAATACTTTAAAAAACTTTCTAGCGACCTAACAAATCTTCTTGATAATGGTGAAGATTATAATGTAATAATTGAAGTCGGTCAAATGCCAAACTGTCAAATCTTTAAGGCGCATTCAATTATTTTAAATTCTCGATGCTCTTACCTTCGTAAAAAGTTATTTAAGACAAATTACAATAAAAATGTCAAAAAAATAAGTATACCACATATCTCCGCTAATATTTTTGAGACTATTATTAAGTAAGTTATATTTTAAATTTTTTAATTATTAATAATATAGGTTTAATCATTTTTTTAAATCATATAGATATATTTATAGTGGTACAGTTCTATTCAATAAAATCGATGCGTCTATAATCCTTGGCCTTTTATCTGCTGTTAATGAATTTGGTTTAGAAGAACTGGTTAATACCGCGCAAGAGCAATTGGTTAAGAATCATGCATCATGGATACGTCTGAATTTTGCTAAAGTTTATAAGATATGTTTTGAAAGTGATACTTTTAAAGTTTTGCAATGAAATTATTGCCAAACATCCAAGTATAGTTTTTAATTCTGAAGACTTTGAGAATTTTCCAGAAAAGGCATTAGTCTACCTTTTAAAACTCGACAACTTACAAATGGACGAAGGAAAAATTTGGGATCAAGTTATTCGTTGGGGAATTGCTCAAAACCCAGACTTAGATTCTAATCCTGCTCAATGGTCTGACGAAAAATTTTCAACTTTAAAAACTACTCTCAAAAATTGCCTACCCCATATCCGATATTTTCAAATTACCGGCGAAGACGTTATTGAAAAGCTATATCCATATAATCAAGTTCTTGAACCTAGTCTGTGGAAGGATATTCTAACAAAATTAGCAGCTCCAAATAAGGCTATTACTTCGACTATTTTACCTCCTCGCGTAATTTCAAATACTGTATTACCCCCAAGAAATACTGGAACTTCAAGTGAAAAAAATATTACATTTTCAAAAAATACTGGAACTTCAAGTGAAAAAAATATTACATTTTCAAAAAATACTGGAACTTCAAGTGAAAAAAATATTCCACTTCCAAAAAATTCTGGAACTTCAAGTGAAAAAAAGTTTCCATTTCCAAAATATACTGGAATTTCAAGTGAAAAAAATATTCCACCCCCGAAAATACTGGAACTTCAATTGAAAAAATTGATAATACCTCAACTACAACTTCAAGCATAAACAATACCTTGGCTGTGACTTTGGGTACTTCTATTATGTGTTTATTTTTTAATAATTGGCTATGATATATATGTGATTATAATACGTTTTTGTATGTTCTATTTGAATTATTAGGTACATAATATAATTCAATTGGTGTCAGTTTATTAAATCTATTGCCATTTTTTTCATATATCCTAATTAATTATATTTATTAGAATGTAAGAATAAAGCTTTTATATAAGAATATTTTTATAATAGATTTTTATATAGGCTTCTAGATGTTTACAGTGAAATTGTGAAACTTTTAGAAGTTATATAAATCTACTTTATAAAATATTTCATATAAATTTATAAATTATATATATATTTAAATCTATTTTTAAATTTCCAGGTCGTAAGTTCTTTGATGGTGTTTTTAAATTAACGTTTTATGGTTTATTTATATACTATTTTTTTTTTCTTTATAATTAGCTAGTAAGTATACTTTTATAGTACTTATACTCCTTTTTTAATATTGTATAACTTATTAATGCATATTTTCAAACATTTTTAGATTGTAAGTAAAAACAATGTTCAATAAGGTTTATGATAAAAAGTTATTCTTTAATTGATTCTTCATGTATATTATATATCATTTGATATTAGGTAGTAAGTATAAGTTTTTAAAATTTATTTTTAATAAGTTGTTAAAATTTTACTTTAAAATATTTATATACGCTATTAATTATTAGCCCGTAAGTATAAATTTATTCTTCATTATTAGCTTTTATAACATACTCAAACTTAATTCTGCACATTTTCTAATCTATTTTACTAGAATGTAAATACGAGTTTTTCGATCGTTCTTTTAAGATATTCTTTTTACCTTGTATAAATTCATAGGCAGTAAGAATTTTTTATAAACTTTTAATGAATTTATTTTCAACTGTTAAGTTATAATCCTTATCAATTAATATTTCTTTTAAATTATTAGTTCGTGAGTATAAACTTTTAATAAAGTTATTTTAAATTATTAAATTATAATCCTCACTAATTAATATTTTTATCATTTATTAGGGAGTGCGTATAAGATTTAATAATTTTTTTTTAAATTATTAAGTTTTAATTGTTAAATTATTATATTTTACTAATTAATATTTTTATTAGTTCGTATGTATAAACTTTAACATGTATTTATTTTTATTTATTAAATTATATTTATATTTTACTAATAAATATTTTTATTAGTGAGTACGTATAAATTTTTAATATATGTTATTTTTATTTATTATATTTACTATTTTACTAATTAATATTTTTATTAGATAATCGTATGATAAACATTAATATATATTTATTCTTATTTATTAATTTATATTTATATTTTTACTAATTAATATTTTCATTAGTTTGTATGTATAAACTTTTAATTTTTATTATTATTAAGCTATATTATATTTTACTAATAAATATTTTTATTAGATTGTATGTATATACTTTTAATATTTCTTTTTATTAAATTATAATATTTATAATTTATTAATTAAATTTTTATTAATATCAATTAATTTTTTAACTCGTTATTTATAAAAATATTTATTTAAATTTTTTAAATTTTAATAATTGCAATATTTTTTTAACTTTATTTATAATTAAATTTATTTTTTAAAAATATAGTCAAAAGTAATATTAAATTTAAATTTATTTGTTAATATAATATTTATAATTTAATTTATTTTTTAAAAATATAGACATAAGTAATATTAAATTTAAATTTATTTGTTAATATAATATTTTTAAATATTTAATTAAGTTTAAACTCATTAATATTTATAAATTATTAGATCGTAAGTTAAACTTTATTTTTGATTATTATTAAATTAAATTTTTAAAAAATATTTAATTAAATTTAACCCTTACTAATTATTAGCACGTAAGTTAAATTTTATTTTTAATTATTATTAATTAATAATAATAATTGTATTTATAATAATTTATTATACAGTAGAAAGTACGTTAATTATTTTAATATTGTAAAAATTTATTTAAAATCAAACTTATAATTATATATATTAAATAATTAGAATGTAAGTATACAATTCACGATAGTATAAAATTTAAATATATTTTTTAATTTATTGAATATTTATTTAATTAGGCTGTAAGTATAAATTTATTATAAAGTTTAATTTTATAATTAATCATAACATAAACATATTTTTTAGATTGTAAGTATAAAATTTACCTATAGTCAAGATAATAGATTATTATTATTATTTAAAAATAATTTTAAAATTTAGGTGGTAAGTAAAACGGTCTTTAATAATATTAACAAATAAGCTTTATAATTCATCATCTGCGCGATGCATTGCTATACCTAATTGATTACTTAAAATGCAAACAAGTATGATGTAAAATCAAATTTCAATTTTTTTTCAAAAAATTGCTATTTTTATTTTAACTAAAATTTTTTTGAGATAGAGGGTCTTCTAACTATTATCTTTTCCAAACCACAACTTTAATCTAATTCTAATCGGATTTCTTAAGATTTATTACATTAAACTGGTTATGAATAATAATTTTCTAATAAATATATATTAATTTATTTCTTTATATTTTAATTAATAGATTGTGAGTATAATTTATAAATATCTTTTGGTTAATTACATGTTAATTTATTTATTATTTTAAATTATTAGGTCGTAAGTACAAAATTTTAAATTTTTTTAAAATTACAAATTACTATACAATTCGGTTAAATAAACATAAATAAAGTTTAACGCAGATAAAATTTTTTAGACAGTTATACTAATTTTAGTATCATAATTTATTTATTATTTTAAATTATTAATTAGGTCGTAAGTATAAAATTTTAATTTTTTTTAAAATTACAAATTACTATACAATTCAGTTAAATAAACATAAATAAAGTTTAACGCAGATAAAATTTTTAGACAGCTATACTAATTTTAGTATCATAATTTATTTGATAACAGATAAAAAAGCTGATGAAAAATACATGCAAATTAAAAAGAAGTAGTGAACAAGACAGATTATATGTTTAGTAAGAATTTTATTGGAAGATTTACTATAAATATTAAATTTTCAAAGTTTTTTATTTGCTTAAAAATATTAATTATATGAAAATATAATTAAAAGGTTAAAATTATAATTGAGCAATAATAATTCTATTTTATAATAGTAAATACTTCAAGCAACTACAATATAAAACTAATAGTTGGAATTATTTGTAAGTATTATTTAAAAATATAATCTTGCAATTAATACTAGTGTTATTTGTATTTAATAGTTTTACTATTTGCAAAAAAAATTAAGCATGTATTATTATGCGTAATTTTGCCTAGCATAAATGCCCATTATTTTGCCTCAATATTGCAAGGTCATGTATTCTTTTGTTATTTAATGATTACATCACTTCTATCTTATATAAACCTTCCATAGTGTCGATATATTTTTTTTATTGTTATTTAATTTCGAACGTTTGATTCACTTAAATTAGTTTTGCAATAGAATAACGATCAAATTATATAAAGTATTTAGTATGGTAACATGAAAATGATATAATGTTTTGCAAAAAGAAATTTTCATTAAAAGTGATTTATCTATGACATGCCTTTGCACCAGCATGTTAACACTCTCCCTAACTTTAACCTTTAAAACGGATCGCTTTGAGAACGGTGACGTCAAGAGAAAAACCTGTAAGCCATTCTTTTTGTTTATTCACTAATAATTGAACGCTTAAAATTTTAATATTATTCGAATCATCTCATTAAAAATTCAAATTATATTAAATAATAGGTGTTCAATTACTCGATTTTAAGATATTTTTATTAAATGAAATATTCAAAAGCATGACTTACGGGTTTTACCATTGGCAAACTTTATATATATGCCTTGTCAACTACATAACTTAATATTTACGAAATTTCTGTACGTTGTTATGTCTACAAACTATTGGAGTAGGTTATTAATCAACGAAAAGAGTTACATAGCAACCACTCAAAGAAGTGAAAATCAGGAGAAGTATCAAACCAACAAGGAAGAGTAAACTATAATAAATGATACTTGCCTGTTGTTGGTAAGAGGATAAGTTGAACGATAATTAGAAAAGTGAATAACAACTTTAACATCCTTAGTAATTGTTGTAGCGATAATATACAATAATTTTCAACAATTTTAAAATTTTATTTGTTATTATCTTAATAAAATATCATCGATTTTTCCCAATAATAAATTCTTACATTAAGTATATTTTAATAATCAGACTTAGCATACTGTATTTATGAGTAGGATCATACTACTAATGAAGTCAAGACTATTACATATATCAAATATTTCAGCATTAATATTAACATATAATACAGAAATATTTTAAAATCAAAATTTTTATAATGTGATACTAAGACAATTTCTTAAATTTTAAATAATTGAAGGTAACCAACATAAGTTTTGTATCTTACTTTTGACTTCTGACAAGCACCCATTTCTCATTTACTATGGAATTTGTTGATTATTACTCGACTGATTCATTCACCTCTAAAGAATAACTTAGGTCGACTTTTAATGTAAATATTAAACTTATTGTAATTCAAGTTCGCTAAAGGCTTTAGTTAATTTTATGCTTTACATTTATAAAAAAGCAAAATAAAGTTCACTAAAATTTTCATATCGTCTTTAGGCTGTTCAAAGTTGATTAGTTGTTTACGTCAACATTTTAAGCTCAACACCGGGGTAGGGGAAATTTTTAAAATCATATGGGTTAGGTGATGAGAATTGGGCCCAATTGACAAAAAGAGATCCTCAGAAAATCAATTTTTATGTTATAAATCTTATAATAAATCGGAAGAAAATGCAAACTTTAAAGAGCTATACTGCAAAATTTTATTAATACAATACTTTTGCGCTTTAATTCTAAATTAATTTATTAAAAAAAAAAAAAAAAATCCTTTGAAAAAATTGTCAATTTGGCCCTTTTTCCAGTATAAGCACAAAATAACGCGCAGGGGCGTTATTTTGGA